CTTTCCCTCTCCCTCATCCTGCTCCTTTTCCTCCTTTCCTCCTCCTCCTCCTCCTCCTCCTCCTCCTCCTCCTCCTCCTCCTCTCCTCCTCCTCCTCCTCCTCCTCCTCCTCCTCCTCCTCCTCCTCCTTCCTCCTCCGCATCTTCCCCCTCCTCATTCCTCCTCCTCCTCCTCCTCCTCCTCCTCCTCCTCCTCCTCCTCCTCCTCCTACTCCTCCTCCGCCTCCTCCTCCTCCTCCTCGTCTTCCTCCTCCTCCTCCTCCTCCTCCTCCTCCTCCTCCCTCCTCCTCCTCTTGCTCCTCCTCCTCCTCCTCCTCCTCCTCCTCCTCCTCCTCCTCCTCCTTCTCCTCGCGCGGAACACGACCCAGAGGAAGCGCACGACGTGCGTCCCGGCGGATACGCGCCGGAGGACGACCCAAAGGAAGCGCGCGCCGGAGGACGACCCAGAGGAAGCACGAAAGGTGCGGGCCCAGTGGCAGGGTCCACATGGCGGCGCCGCCCCTTTTCGGCGCACCCCTGACACGGTTCGTGACCCCATAGGGAGGTCCACCAGAAGCCCGAGTGGCAGGGTCCGCATGGCGGCGCCGCTCCATATTGACGCACCCCTCACACCGCTCGTAGCCTTCTAGGAAGCTCCACCGAAGGCCCCAGTGGCAGGGTCCACCTGGCGACGCCGCCCCTGGTCGGCGCACCCCTCACACGGTTCGTGACCCATAGGGAGCCCCACCGAAGGCCCGAGCGGCAGGGTCCGCACGGCGGCGCCGCTCCATTTTGATGCACCCCTCACACCGCTCGTGGCCTTACAGGGAGCTCCACCGGAGGCCCCAGTGGCAGGGTGCACGTGGCGGCGCCGCTCCATTTTGGCGCACCCCTAACCCTTTAGGGAACTCCACCGAAGGCCCGAGTGGCAGGGTCCGCATGGCGGCGCCGCCCCATTTTGAGGCCGCCCCATTTTGGCGCAACCCTCACACGGTTCGTGGCCCCATAGGGAGCTCCAACGAAGGCCCCATTGGCAGGGTCCACATGGCGGCGCCGCTCCATTTTTGCGCACCCGTCACGCGGTTCGCGGCCCCATAGGTAGCTCCACCGAAGGCCCGAGCGGCAGGGTCTGCATGGCGGCGCCGCCAGGTTTTGGCGCACCCCTTGCACGGTTTGTGGCCCCACAGGGCGTTCCACCTAAGGCCCCATTGGTGGAGTCCACATGTGTCCGCGCCACCGATGTCGGCGCACCCCTCGCACGTTTCGTGGCCCCATAGGGAGTTCCACCAAAAGCGGTACCCACAATGCGGCATTCGCAGCTGCATATGGTTGGGTCCTTCGTCAGGCTAATTTTTAAAGTGTCGGGCCCTGGAAACACCCAACAATCCCCCAAGGTTCCCCCCCCGGACCTGGGGGGAAAACCCCCGAAACAAAATTATCCTGGCGAAGGTCCCAACCATATGCTGCTGTTGGTACCGTAATTGTGAATTTCTGCTTCGGTAAAGCTCCCTATGGGGCCACGAAGCGCTGCACTGGGCGGGGGGGAGCGCTGTACTGTGTGGGTGGTGTGCCGAATTGGGTTTCCGGGACGTATCGGACGGTCCCACGGAGGGCTTCGGTGGAGCTCCCTATGTGGCCACGAAGCGCTCTACTGAGCGAATGAAAGTGCCAAATCGTGCTTCCGGGACGCATGCGGACGGTCCCACTGGGGCCTTCGGTGGAGCTCCCTATGGGGCCACGAAGCGGTGCACTGCGGTGAAAATGCCAAAGTACATTTCCCGGACGCATACGGACGGTGGCAGTGGGGCCTTGGGTGGAGCCCCCTATGGGGCCACGAAACGCTGCACTGGGTGATGAAACTGCCAAATTGGGATTCCGGGGCGCATGCTGACGGGGGCACTGGGGCCTTCGGTGGAGCTCCCTATGGGGCCACTCTGTACTTGGTGTGCGAAACGCACGCGGACGGTAGAGCTGGGACTTTCGGTGGGGCTACCAATGGGGCCACGAAGCGCTGTGTTGGGTGTGCGGGACGCATGCGGACGCTAGCACTGGGACCTTCGGTGGAGCCCCCTTATGGGGCCACCAAACGCTGTATTGGGTGTGCGGGACGCATGCGGACGGTAGCACTGGGACCCTCGGTGGGGCTACCACTGAGGCCACGAAACGCTGTACCGGGTGTGCGGAACGCATGCGGACGCTTACATTGGGACCTTCGGTGGAGCTCCCTCTATGGGGCCACGAAGCGCTGTAGTGGATGGGGGAAACGCAGGGAGGAGGGGGAGGAGGGCCACGAAACGCTTTACTGAGTGTGCGGGACGCATGCGGACGCTAGCACTGGGACCTTCAGTGGAGCCCCCTTGTGGGGCCACCAAACGCTGTACTGGGTGAGCGGGACGCATGCGGACGGTAGCACTGGGACCTTCGGTGGGGTACCCTGTGGGGCCACGAAACGTGGTACTGGGTGATGAAACGCAGGGAGGAGGGTGAGGAGGGCAACGAAACGCTTTACTGAGTGTGCGGGACGCATGCGGACCGTAGCACTGGGACCTTCGGTGGAACTCCCAATGGGGCCACGAAGCGCTGTATTGGGTGTGCGGGACGCATGCGGACGCTAGAACTGGGACTTTCGGTGGAGTTCCCTATGGGGCCACGAAACGTTGTACTGGATGGGGGAAACGCAGGGAGGAGGGGGAGGAGGGTTCACGAAACGCTTTAATGGTGTGCGGGACACATGCGGACGGTAGAGCTGGGATCTTCGGTGGGGCTCCCAATGGGGCCACGAAGCGCTGTGCTGGGTGTGCGGGACGCATGCGGACGCTAGCACTGGGACTTTCGGTGGAGCTCCCTATGGGGCCACGGAGCGCTGTAGTGGATGGGGGAAACGCAGGGAGGAGGGGGGGGAGGGTTCACGAAACGCTTTATTGGGTGTGCGGGACACATGCGGACGGTAGCGCTGGGACCTTCGGTGGAGCTCCCTATGGGGCCACGAAGCGCTGTGCTGGGTGTGCGGGACGCATGCGGACGGTAGCACTGGGACTTTCGGTGGGGTTCCTTATGGGGCCACGAAACGCTGTACTGTGTGGGTGAAACGCAGGGAGGAGGGGGAGGAGGGCCACGAAACGCTGTAGTGGGTGCGCGGGACGCATGCGGACCGTAGCACTGGGACCTTCGGTGGAGCTCCCAATGGGGCCACGAAGCGCTGTACTGGGTGTGCGGGACGCATGCGGACGGTAGAGCTGGGACCTTTGGTGGGGCTCCCTATGGGCAACGAAACGCTGTACTGGGTTGGCGAAACGCAGGGAGGAGGGGGAGGAGGGCCACGAAACGCTGTATTGGGTGTGCGGGACGCATGCGGACGGTGGATGAGGGGGAAGAGAAGGAGGAGGAACGCAGGGACCGTCTCTTCAAAACGAGGACCCAACACCACAGGATGGTTGGGAAAAAACAACTCGGGGGCTTTCTGGGGGTATCCCGGGGAGTTCCAGGGAACCCCCACACCGGTCTCCAGGGGAGGGGGGTCGCGGAGGCATACCGTCGGGAGCTTGGGCCGAACTAAACCGGGCACGTCCCTCTACAGGAGGAATGCTCAAAACTAATTCCAAACATAGTCTGGTGACGTTTTTCGTGTACTTGTTTGACTGTTGTTGATATTTGTTGGGGGGTCATTTGGATCTTTCGCCCACAATCCCCCCGGCAGCGGCCCCAGGCAGCGGCCGAATATCGGCCTCGCTGCCGGGACACAGCTTTGGCTCGGCATTGCTCCTCGTGCGTCAGTCAACCCCTCGCCACAGGCGTCGCGGAGGGTTGCTCGTGGGAGACGTCTGTGCGAACGCTGTCCAGCGATGCCGATGCTGACGAATCCCCCCTCTCCGCGCCGTGGCTCCGCAGGCCGGGCGCCACGGCCAAGGTCCGGGCGGGGCGTGGGCTCTCCCGGCCAAGTCGGGAGGCCACGTGACTCCACCGCGGTCCGTCGGTGGCCCCCAAACGGGGTGGTGACCACACCGTGCGGTGGGTCCGTGGGGACCTGGGGTCACCGCGCGATTTTGTGGCTCGGGCGGTTCTCGGAGGACGTCTCGGACGACTGGGGCCTCCGAGGTCCCGAGGCCGTGCGGTGACGGACCGTGCGGTGGGGTCTTGGGAGACTTCGAGGTCACCGCGCGGTCTGTCACCGCACCGTTTCGGGACTCCAGAGTCCTGCAGGCCAGCCACCGCCACGAGGGAAACGGGCGCCCTGATCGGACGGGGCTGGCAAGATCACCGAGCGCTCGAAGAAAAGAAATCCACATGAGCATACACACCCTCATCCTCCTGCCTCCCTCCTGCTCCCTCCTCCCTCCTCCTGCCTCCATCCTCCCCTCCATGCCCCCCGCATCCCCTCCCTGCCTGCCCATCTCCGCCTCCCTCCCTTCGAAGAAGAAACAGTATAAGCATAAACTGTTTGGCGTTCCACGCGAATTTCTTGGATCTGCGCCTGGGCCCCCCGGCGGCGCCTCTGGCGCCACCCCTGGCGCGCTCCGCGCGCCAGGGAGGGGGGGTCCGGCGCGGATCCCAGAAATCCGCGCGGAGCGCCAAAAATTAATGTTTATGTGTTGCTCTTCTTCTTCTTCTTCTTCTTCTTCTTCTTCTTCTTCTTCTTCTTTGGCCCTGAGCGGACGCGGCCAGGACGATCACCCAGCGCGTCCCACTGCTCGCAAAGTGCCTGCTCGCAAACGTCCGAAAAATCAGACAGCTGCCTCGACGTTATGGTTCGACCAGCGAGCGCGGCCGCCGCCGCCGTCCTCGCCTTCGCTCTCGTCCTCGCCCTCGTCGGCGTCGGCGTCTTCAACGTCGTCGTCGTCGGCGGCAGCGTCTGCGCCGTCGACGCTCTCGTCGGCGTCGTCGTCCTGTCCCACCTGGGTCCAAGCCCAGGTCCTGCGTTGAACCCGCCTCGTCGCCGTCGTGGTCGGAGTTGGTGCCCTGGGCGTCGTTGTCGTCGCCGTCGTGGTCGGCGGCAGTTTCGCGCGAAGCAGAGCCGGCGCCCAGGTTGCGTGGGACACTTCCGCCGGCGCCTTCGGGACGGCGTGGGGCACCCATGGCAGCGCCGCGGAGTCTGCTCTCTTTCGCGTCTGCCGCTTCTTCCTCCCTCCTCTTTATCCTCCTCTTTTTCTGCATCCGTCCAGGGGGAGGAGGAGGAGGAGGAGGAGGAGGAGGAGGAGGAGGAGGAGACAGCAGAGGCGAACGGGGAAGTGACAGAATGAGGGAGAAGAATTCTCCGATTCTTTCCCCCTCTCCTCGTCCTCCCGTCTCTCGCCATTTCCCTCCCATGTCCCTCCTCATCCTCTGCCTCACCCCTCCTCCCACATCTCCCATCTTCTCCCCATCCTTTCTCTATCGTACTGTCTCCTGCTCCTCTCACCTGCCGCTCCTCCTTCCTAACTTCCTCCTCATTTCCCTCCCTCAAGCCCTCCCTCCCTCGTTTTCATACCTCATCCCATATCCTCCTTCTCCCCCCCCCTCCCCGTTATCATTTCCTCCTTGCTCTTTCTATCGAATGCGCCTAAGACGAATCACCGCCGCCCCCTGCCTTTTTGGAAACGCATATGTGGCCGACAGTTTGGCTAGAGCTTCTCCAAGCTATCGGACCATGAGTTCCCCGAGTCGGTGTGGACAGCATTCGGGGAACACGTGGGGGAGGAGGATGAGGAGGAGGGTGAGGAAAAAGGAAAGGGAGGAGGAGGAGGCCTCTTGAGAGCCTCTTGAGGCACCCTTGAGCTGTATTGGGCCATCTTGGCGGTCTTGGAGGCCATCTTGGCCGTTTTGGAGGCATCTTGGAGGCCGTCTTGAAGGCCATCTTGGGCGTCTTGGGGGCTTCTTGGGCTGCCTTGGGGCCTTTGGGGGGCTTTCTTGGGGGCCTCTTGGGTTGTATTAGGGCCATCTTGGAGGCCTCTTGGGCGCTCTTGGGGCGATGTTGGGGGGCCTCTTGGGCCGTCTTGGGCCGTCGGAGAGCTGAAACGAAGAAAAGGGGGAGTACCTGTGCCACGACCACAAATACAATGCATTCTTTGCGGAGCCAAGCGATCCAACCCGAAAGCCATGCATGTTGGTGCGAGGTGCTTCTGTGACGCCCACAAGGGCACCAAGGAGTGCCCGAAGGAGTGCTAGAAGTGCGAGGGCATCTGCAAGAGATGGTTGCCGAAGGGGGACTTCGACTAGACAGAGTCCGGCAACCTGATGAAGAAGTGCAAGGAGAGCGAGGCGGGAGCGAAGAGAGACACGACATTTTGCTTTGGGTGTGACTCGCACGTGCCCAAGGTCGATTTCGATAAATACGACAGCTACCACCCGAAACCGAGGTGCAGCATGTGCGAAAAGGCGGAAGAGAAAAAGAACGTGACGAAGAAGTGCAAGGGGTGCAGAGTCGATCTACCAACAGATGCCTTCGAAGAGTATGACGACGGGCACCCGCGCGCCAATTGCAAATATCGCGAGAAGGCGGAGGAGGACAGGAAGAACGCAGAGACGAAACATTGCGCAGGGTGCGACTAGCAGTTGCCCTTGCATGCTTTCTAGCAACGCTCGCAAGGGCGTCACCGCGCGCAGTGCAAGAGCTGCGAGAAGAGCGCAAGAGAACGAAAGCAGACGCGCAGTATCTGCAAGACTGAATTGGAGGCCCATAGCTTCGGCCACAAGAAAGATGGTGAAAACAGATTCGCCGCGTGCATCACGCGCCAATTGCTTCGGTGCACGAAATGCGGTGAGAAGCAGGGGGAGCCCTGGATCCCCCCTCCGCGGGGGACGAAGCCTCTGGGATTATGCGAAAAGCGCGAAGCCAAAGAGCCAACAAACAGAAAACATGGGAAGCAATAGGTATGCCTATGCGCGCGAGGCGAGGAGCAGGCTCATGAGGGACGCTCTCGAGATGGATATGCGACAGAGCCAGAGCCAACGCCGCATTTTCACGCGGGAGGCCGACCGCCGAACGCTTGCGCAACAAAGTGGAGATACGCGGCAGGGCCATGCCCAGCGCACAGAGTTTCACGCGCAAGTCATACACAAGTGCATCCTCACGCTCGAGTCTCACGAGGCCTGGATACTGGAAACCGTTTTATTCCGCCGGGCCATGCCCAGAGGCGTTCGCAGTTGACCCTTTGGCTTCGCGTGCCAGGTGCGTCAGAAAAAGATGGCGACGAGCAGGAAGAGGAGGACGACGATGAAGAGGAGGAGGAGGAGAAGGATGCGGAGGGCAATATTCCTCGGGAGTTCTCTGGGCCATTCTTGGGCACTCAGAATGCCGCTTGTTGTGTCGGTGCAAATGTGAAACTGGTTCGAAGCAGGACTGGCCAAGACGGCCTTAGAGCCCTGGGGCAAGATGTTCCCCGAACCAGCTTGGAACGCTTTTGGGGAACACATTGCAGAGGAAGACGAGAATGAGAAGAGGAATGGGGAAGGAAGAAGAGAAGGAAGATAAGGATGGGATTGGAAAGGCAGGAGACCTTCGCCCCCTTCCTTTTGGACAGTGCTTCTGCGGCGAATCGTTGGGCCACAGCTCGGAAAAAAACGATCGGCTTACGTATTTCCCCACCAGATCTGGGAGCTGCTCGGGGCACACTCGGGAGGGATAAAGGGAAGGAGCAGGACAGGTAAGAGGAGGAGGAGGAGGAGGAGGAGGAGGAGGAGGCCTCTGGGGAGCCTCTTGGGGCACCCGGGGTGTCCTGGAAGTTTTTCGGGAACCTCTCGGAGGCCTCCTGGGGCGTCTGGGACGCATCTAGGAGGCCATTGAGGGCCATCTTTGCCATCTTGGAGGCCATCATGGACCATCTTGGAGCCGTTTGGGGGCCGTCGTGGAGCCCTCTTGGCCAGCATGGAGCCATCTCGGAGGCCTCCTGGGCGACCTTGAAGCAACATGCTGTTTGGTTTCTTCGGGCTGTCGTGAAGGACGTCTTCGAGGCCTCTTGGGGTATCGTGGAGACATATTGGGGCATCTTCGCCGTCCTGGAGGCCTTGTTAGCTGTCTTGGAGGCATCTTGGAGGCCACTGAGAGCCATTGGTGGCCTCATTGAGGACCATGTTCGAAACCGTGCCTTTTTGGAAACTGTGGTTGGGAGTTGGGCTAGAGCCTCGCCAAACTGTCGGACCATGAGTTCCCCGAGCCGGTCTGGAAAGCTTTCGGGGAACACGTGGGGGAGAATGAGCGTGAAGAGGAAGGGGAAGAGTAGGAGGATAAGGTTTCTTGGGGGTCTCTTGGGGCACCCTTGGGGCCTGCTGGGGGCCTCTTCGAGGCCTCTTTGGGGCCTCCTTGGGCTTGCTGGGAGCTCTTGGAGGCTTCTTGGAGGCTTCTCGGGGGGCTCTTTGGCCGTCTTGGGGCGTTCCTGGCCCGTCTGAAGCCGTCGGAAGTCGTCTTGGGGCCCTCTTCGGGCCGTCTTGGGGCCTTCTTGGGGCGCTTCAGGGCCGTCTTGGAAACCATCTCGGGCGTCTGGGAAGCTTCTTGTGCCGTCTTGGGGCCCTCCTGGGGGCGTCTTGGGGGCCTCTTCGGCCGCCATGGGGCCATTTTGGAGGCCTCTTGGGCGATCCTGGGGCGATTTTGGGGCCTCTTGGGCCGTCCGCGGCCGACGGGAAGCCCCAAAGACGCAAATGCCAACACCCTTCAAAACCGAACTAAGATCAACGAGTTTGGTCTCTTCGGGCCTTCTGAAGGACCTCTTGGAGGCCTCTCGAGCCGTATGGGAGGCCTCTGGGGCCGTCCTGGGCCATCTCGATGCCGTCTTAGGCCGTCTTGAGTGCATCCTGGCTCGTCTTGGAGGCATCTTGGAGCCATCTGAGCCGTCTTGGAGGCCATCTTGGCCGTCTTGGATGCATCCTGGAGGCCATCCTGGGCCGTCTTGGAGCCGTCTGGAGCAGGAGAATCCCTTTGCAGCCGGGTCTGAAAGGGTTGTTCAAGCCGACGGGACGCGCCGAAGCCCCGGGGGGGAGGTCTTTTGGAAAACGAACCAGCACCAAAACCGAAAGGGTTCCGCACGCCAGGCACCCCTGTGGTGAATCAACAGGGGCCGGCGGATCCAGCTGCCTGCGGCAAGTCCCGCCACCGTGCCTTGCTGAGTGGCGACGGTTCGAGGGGGAACGGGCGGCCGTCACGTGTGACACCTCGTGTCTCCAGGCTTGGGAGAGCCGCGATGAGGATGATGAGGAGCATGAGAATCATGGGGGCGGTGATGCTGATGATGCTGATGATACTGATGAATGATGATGAGGATGAGGATGATGATGATGCTGGTGATGGTGATGGTGATGGTGATGACGACGACGATGATGATGATGATCGTAATGGTGATGGTCCTGGTGGTGGTAATGGTGGTGATAAGGACGAGGATGATGATGAGGCTGAGGATGACGATGAGGATGATGATGAGGATGAATATGATGATGAGGAGGATACGGGTAAGGATGAGACGGATGAGGAAGATGCGGAGTATGAGTTCGATGAGGACGAGGATGAGGATGAAGATAAAGTTGGTGGTGATGGTGATTGTAATGATGTTGAGTGTGATGGTGATTGTTATGGTTGTGGTGATTATGATGATTATGATGATGATGATGATGTTGATGATGCTGGTGACCATGGTGATGGTGATGATGATGCTACTGGTGATGGTGTTGATGATGATGCTGGGCATGATTCCGTCGGCGACGTCGACGACGGCGATGACGATGACGCTGACGTGGTTTATGGTGATGATGATGATCATCATGATGATGAAGATGGTGATGGTGATGGTGATAAAGATGGTGACGAGGAGGAGGAGGCGGATGATAATGCGATTGAGGGCGAGGATTGGGGCGATGCTGACGATTCTGAAGTTGAGGATGGTGATAGTGAAGGTGGCGGTGATGGCTGTGGTGATGGTGATGATCATGTTGATGATGATGATGATAACTGTAACAATGGTGATGATGATGGTGATTGTGATGATGATGCTGTTTTTGCTGATGATAGTAGTGGTAATGGTGGTGACGATGATGGTGCAGATGCGGATGATAATGATGATAATGATGCTGGTGATGTAATGATGGGGATGTTGCTGGTGATTATGATAATGC